AACAAGATGTTTTCAATAAATTAACTATTTCCTATATTGCGGATCTTATATTACCAGTATCTGCTGTGGAGAAAAAATCTTTTAAGAAGTTGATTGCGTGTGCGAATCCAAAATTAAAATTAATGAGTAGACCAACAGCAACATCATTAGTAAATACCACATACACATCCATGATTGACAAGTTAAAAATGGAATTGAGTGATTGTGAATTTGTTTGCACTACAGCAGATGTTTTTTTGGCTATACATGTCATTGGCTAGATGACTCTCTCCAAATAAAATCTATTGCTTTGGCATGTAAGAGATTTTTCGGATCACACACATTCGACCGTATACATGATGCAATAATTGAAATTCATACTACTTACGGTCTCACACTAAATAAAATTGTTGCAACCGTTACTGATAATGGGTCAAATTTCGTCAAAGCATTTAAGGAATTTGGTGTTAATACACCTTTAATGTTCCTCGACGCTAATGGCAATAACGACGTTGAAGATTTAGAAGAGATGCAATTGGAAGACTTGTCCACCAATTTTGGCGGAAATACATTGCCGCGACATATAAGATGTGCCACTCACACCCTAAATTTACTGGCTACTACTGATGTGTTGAGAATTTTGAAGACTGATACCTCATATGATAAACATAACAATGTAAGTTATTATAATTTGTTGTCTAGTTTATACGAACATAAAATCGAATTATGTAATTCAAAACGAATTTCTTACGACACATGAAGTAAAACGCAAAAAGTTTTCAAGTCGGTTTGAAAATTCGTTTATAAATGTGTTTCGAAATAAACCGAATTGAACTGAAGCGTTTTATGTATACGTATAAACTAGGTATGTATTGTTATTATGACAAATAATTTAACACTTTCCAAGAGAAATAGGATTATTAAAAGTAAATTAAAATGTTTTATAGGTAATGAAAAAATGCTCTGATATTTGGAACAAAATAAACTGGCCGAAGACTTCTGAGATCATTGTTTCGGTGCTAGGCTCCAATTGCAATATCCCGTCANAAGCTCAGACTCAATTTTTGCACTGAAAGGGTGAGCTCAAGCTCAAGAATTTGTACTGAAAAACGAGTCGGAGCTTAAGCTCACTTTTTATGCATGAGGCCCATTGTTTCGGTGCTAGGCTCCCAATTGCAATATCCCGTCATAACGAGATGGAATTCCTTATATGATTCCATTAAAGGTTTAATTTCTCACAAAGAAAAACTAAGCACTTTGTGTGAAAAGCTGGAATTGACGAAGTTTCACGAGAGCGATACNGAAGACTTCTGAGATCATTGTTTCGGTGCTAGGCTCCCAATTGCAATATCCCGTCGTAACGAGATGGAATTCCTTATATGATTCCATTAAAGGTTTAATTTCTCACAAAGAAAAACTAAGCACTTTGTGTGAAAAGCTCGAATTGACGAAGTTTCACGAGAGCGATACAAGGTATTTGGAGGAGTATTTGCAATTGCTGCAACCAATCGCAGATGCTATCCAGTTTTTGCAAAAAGACAACGGGATGGTGTATGGCTTTCTGTTACCTACGCTGGCAACAATTAGAACAAAATATAGGAAAATGCAACTAACTAAGGCCATGCATTATCTTCAGCGAGTAGCGAATCTTTTGGAAGCAGACTT